CAATTTAAAATATATAACAAAAAAATATACAATTCATATCAATACAATACAATACTATGTGGACAATCAAAATTTTGCATAAAAAGTATGAAATTTTTTTTTCATTATCCTTTTCTTATATTCGAATATCAATGGTCTCAATGTTTTCTAACTTCGATAAAATTCAATTCTGCTAGTCACGTGACTTTTTCAAAATGGCGTCTCAGTTGAGATGTAAACAAGTGACAACTAGATCGGTAAAAGCCTTATTTCTACAAGTTTCAGTGTTAAAATCAAGCTCACTTGATTTTATTTTAATAAAAAAACATATTAATGAATATTGTTATGCACATTCATGAAGCTTGGGACAAAATTTTAATTCAAAATTTGGCTTGGAAACTTTCATGTCCACATATGTGGACATGGGTCTGGATTTGACAAATCAACAAATATTGTCCGCTTTAGAGTATGTTGTTTTTACGATCTTTTGAACAGGATAAGAAGTTAAAATCTACTTTTAGGTGATAGGCTATGCTCTCCCTTATATTTGGAAATTTCAACAAGAAGATAAGTTTAAGATAAGTTTTTATACTAAACAATGCACGTTGTAAAGTCAGCCTATTGTTAAAATGAGTTTTTCTTTTTCTGTTACAGTTGTAGATAAAAGAGCAAAATTTATGTCAATACTGTTCATGACCTGTTTGACAACTCTGATATATCAGATTTATCTGATGATTCTGTTTATGGTAAATTATCAGTTGATAAATGCCAAAGATGGTCCAAAAATGATATGCAAAGGGTTGAAGTCGAATGACCTAATGTTATTACTCAGTATAATTTGAGTATGGGTGGTGTGGACTTCTGTGACCGAATGGTTGCATACAACCACATTTCATCAAGATCTAAAAGGTGGCCAGTACGTGTAATGAACCATTTTATTATACGCCCACATATCTCTATGTCCGTCCGCCAACATTTGCTTGTAAACGCTCTAAAAACTAGATTTTTTGATGGAATCAAATGAAATTCGGTATGTGTATACATATTCATAAAACGAAGATCAAGTTCGAATTTGAGCTATTTTCGACTGTTAGAAGCAGAGTTATTGCCCTTGCCCCAAAATCTTGAGTATGCTATTACTCTCTTAGTTTTCAACCGATTTTGATCAAACTTAAAATGGATGTTATTGGACCTAAATCGAAAGGTTTGAGAAAGTTAAGTTTACTTCTGATTAAATTTATGGCTTTTCCAAGATTAAGGCCACTTACGTCAGTTTTGAGGAGTTATCGCCCTTTAACCTCTAAACAGTAAGAGCTTCTATCAACATCAATTGCTCGTAAACACTCTAAAACACTCTCGGTCGGTCGGTCCGTCCGTCAACACTTGCTTGTAAACGCTCTAAAAACTAGATTTTTTGATGGAATCAAATGAAATTCGGTATGTGTGTACATATCCTTAAAACGAAGATCAAGTTCGAATTTGAGCTATTTTCAACTGTTAGAAGCAGAGTTATTGCCCTTGCCCAAAAATCTTGAATATTTACCATCCGCATGCCATGGTGGGCGTATATGGCTGTGGTCCACTATCTTTGATCTAGCTAACAGTAATTGTTGGCTGTTGTATAGATTGGAAAGTGGATCCAATATGCAATCATTTGATTTCAGAAGTGCCATTGCCTATTCTTTAATTACAGAAAATGATGAGGACAGCAGCGAGGATGGGGAAAATACAGCCCCCCCCCCTCAACTCAACTCAAATGCAGTACCACCTTTAAAATTTCGAAAACTATCAAAGCATTTGCCAAAAGCCATTGAATTAAAAAATGCTGCTAGGTGCAGAAATCCTGGATGTCACCATAAAACAAGAGTTCAGTGCAGTAATTGTAGAGTGTTTCTGTGCGTTGCATCTAACAGAAACTGCTTTTTTGATTTCCACAAGTAGGCAATCTAAAATTACTTTTGTTTTGGATATAATATTATTTTCTAGTCCTTTGAGGCAGAATTTTGTTTGAATGTATGAATTTAATTTCTTGTGAGATTTTTTTTTCAGGTTTTATTCATTTTTACATTTGTTAAGTTTCATTTTTATTATAATTATTTGTTAAATAAATTCATGTCTAAACTGATGTATTGTTTGCTGAAATTTGCCTCCATGGATCACTAAAAGATGTTCAATCAAAAATATAAAATAGATTGCGAAATTTAGCCAATGTTCAAAACCGAGGTCAATGGGTTTATAAGCAAGATATGTGGACACTCCAAAAAAGGGCATAAATTTTGGGGAATGGTTAAAAAAAATTTCTAGGATGCTTTTTGGATGCCATTTGTCTCAAAAAGGACATTAATTTTAACTCAGTGATATATGCATGGGTCTCAGGAGGATATACAATTCAATTCTATACAATAAAATAATAATAATAATAATAATAATAAACCTAATTTAAAAGGTTGGGTTATAGCTGATGTATCTAAATCAGGTGGTGTTATTACATCAGAAAGGTCATTCAGGGACAAACTTGATGAGATGTGAGAGTCTGATGAAGAAGGTCTGCTAGAATTATCATTTTCACCTGAAAGACGGATATCTCCCACTCTGTTCAGGCCATCTCTCTCACCATGACAGTGATTTTGATTCACCATCCAATTTTAAATAAGACGATGACTGCAAACCAGCAGACGGTGTTTGAGAAAGGGCATCTGAGGATAAACTGAACAGAGTGTGAGATGAGGAGACAGCAGGTGAATTCATATTAGAAGTATTTGTGCTACTAACTGTGATGGAAACAGAGGGACTGAGAAGGAATTTTCTGAGGTAACTGTTTTTGGGCTATCTAGCTCATGTACTACTTTACATGACTTCGCCTGGCTTTACCTTCGCTAGTCTTTCATTGTATTGTTATTGTGGTCTTGATGTAGAAGTTTGTTTTACCTTCTTTTTTATACTTTAGCTACTTAACCCCTTTTTATCAGAGCAGTCTTTTAGCGTGGGGTTATTTAAAACTGAAAGCCCTCTCTAAACCATCTTCCTTTAGGCCGAGTGCACATAGAAGTATACGGTATTCGGTAATCGCTACTCGGTATACGCTATACGGACACGGCGAATCACACAGAACAGAACGTGCGACCAAGTCGGTCGCCGATCAAATTGACACGTCAGACGACGAAGATTTGGCTCTTACCCTACTAGCCGAGGCTGATGAGGCACATGAACAAAAAAAATCAAAGAACGATATGGGATCGACAGCACTTCAGAATGCGACCTGTGCTTGGGGAGTTTCACAGAACGTTTCAGAACCTGATGAGAAGATTTTTTTCAACTACATGCGGATGTCCTACATAGCTACAAAGAATTAAAAGACCTGCTTTTGCCTCACACTACTTGAAAATCGAACAAGCACGATTCTCACTATACTCTACTATACGCAGTTATACTTCGTTTTCGATTAGTGTCCTTGTAGGTGACCAGGTATTATGAAATGACCTTGTTCGATTTTAGGTATACGCGTGTCGTGCAAAACGTGCATCGTACACCTGAAAAGTATACTTCTATGTGATCTCATCATAAAAAAGTTATCAATCAACCTTTATTTCATCACCCATTATTCTTCATAATGATAAACCTCTGATATTGCATACTGGGTTATACCTGGATTTCTTCCATCCGATTATATAGTTGACATGTTTGAAGGCGCAGAAGCAAAATATTGATCCTAGTGTCATAGAAAGAGATTACAAAAATCTGCTCAATTCAATACCTAAAGAGTGGAGTGAGATCATTAAATCTGAATCAGATATATCCAGCATAGACAGTCCCATAAATCTATTTTTCTCTTCTGGTGACACTATGATCAATGTGATAAACTCATCCTCTAAAACAACATAAGGAATAATATATCTCTGCCTCCCACCTCAGCTATCTTTTGGAATGATATTTTTCCAAATATTAATTTCAATTTGGTGTGGCCTAATGTTTTTCATGTTTTAAAGAGTAATGACTGTATTTAAACAGATTTCAAAATAGCTCATAACATTATTTTTACAAATAAAAAATTACATAGATATAGTCTGTTAAACAGTCCTATTTACCAATTATTGAAGATATGCTACATTTATTCATTCATTGTCTTAAGATACAACCATTATTAGATACTATACGCTCCATACTTATAGATTTCTTCCCTGATGGCTTTACACAATCTGAAATGTTTTTATATTTTATTTTGAGTTATAAATTGTCAACATGTCAGAAATGTTATTTTAAACTTATTTTTATTTATGGATCGGCTGGCCATAATTAGACGTAGAAATCTATATTCCAAAACTAATCACTTCATAGACATTATTCCCCTTTATCTTAAGCTTCTTAATAATCATGTTCAATACCTTTATTATTATAACCAAGATACAGAATTAAAAAAAAACAATATTGAATAAATACTTCTCAAGATAAAAAAAAAAGACGCTTGCTCGCTAACCTAAAGGTCGAGGGTTCATTCCTGGCATAGGTCGAGATAATACCTTCGGATTTTTCAACCTGGTTTCCCCCCTGTCAGTGAGGTAAGCGGGGCTGACATGGAAAAAGCGTCTAGTCGTTCGGATGGGACAATAAACCGAGGCCCCCTTGTGCTACAGGCGGTGCACTTTAAAGATCCCTCAACAGTTGGAAATCAAAAAAAGAGCAGACTAAAGCCGCTCTCCTGGCAAAATTACACCCTGCACGGCGTTGCCCATCTTTATTAGCGCACATGGTGCAGAAAAATGGGACGTAAAACTCCATTCAATTGATTTTATTTTCATCCTAGCTTCAGGATCTTTTTTTTTTTAATTGGAGAAGACCAAAAGAAATTGGGAAGGAAGTTAGCCCCGTAGATGAGTGATTTTGACATTGGTAATAGTGGTGAAAACAGACACCGTGATAACTCACAGGAATCTTACCAACAAAAGGGTTCGAACCCTTATCACCTAGAAGACGACAATCCAACTTGTACCGATTGACAATACGTTTTTAAAAGTTTATTCAACATGATTTCAGGTAAGGAAGATATTCACAACTAATCTTCCTCTCCACGCTCCTGAACAGCAACTTTATACCCTTTCTGTAAACTGACATTACTGTTAAGGGGCATCAAGTCGTTTGGATGGGTTCCTCGTCCTTGCAAATACTAAAGGGGTTGTTTTTTCTTTTTATGCATTCCATTTGATTTCTATTTTAGGATTAAGAAATTTAAAGATTATTCTGACTGTCGTCACTATTATTACAGTACTTGGTATTTTTTTCACTACCAATAGAGCTAATTTTTATCATCATCTACAATTAAAGTAAGTGGCACTTGAAAAATTACGAAATTCGTCGCTCACTTTTTTCGAACAAATTTTTCAGATTGTTTCCAACTTTTTTGTTTTTACATCGATTTAACTGAAATTTTAAATGCAAAGAGACTTAACTAATGTTAATAATATGGTACAGTCAAATTTTGTACTTCATTTCCACTTTTAAACAGGAAAGCGAATGAATTTCAATGTACTTCCGGTCGACTCACTTCCGATATAATTTAGAAGAATGAAAGAAAGTTAGCTGATTGACAAAATTCTTCAGCCGATTTAAAATAAAATTCAGATTTATTGAAATGACACACTTTTGTGAAACGAAAAATGGGGTCTCTGAATAATTGGACATGTATGATTTTGATGTGTATGTAAACAGCAATCGATTGCTAACAAAAACTAGGAAGCCAATTTTTGCATTTCGCTTTTGATTTTTTGCAACTTGTGTTTGAAGGTTTTATTAAGGTTAGCAAATTTTATCTCATGACCTTGACCTTAGCTATGAGTTGATAATTTGACATTTGACCTCTGACTTGTACTTCCGGTTTTATTGCTGTCTGAAAACAGCCAAATTCCCATCTTTATACTGCTGTAGCACGTGACCTAATTAACCTAGAGGGTTAATTTTTCGAATTCTTAATGTGCTTTTCATGCTCTTTGATGATATATTGTTTTTATTAAAGCAAAATTGAAATTCGTGAATTTTTCAAATTTGAGTTTTTGTTTTTACAATATATGTGTCTCTTTGGGCTTAGTGTATGTATATCTTATGATCTATTTGATGTAGAACCTAGAAATTTGGAACACAACTAGACATTTTGAATATGAATTCACCAATGACAGATGAGGTGGGCTTGGCACATCCGGGTTAAATTACTCATTTTTAGCGAGGGGCATAACTCGCAAAGGATACATTTGTTCAAAATGAAACTTTGCATACAATTACCTCATTGTCTTAGAAGTTTGGTTGTTTCAGCTTCATAATTCAAAAAAGTGAACAGGTTTTGGAAATTTAATAATTTTATTCTTGACGTCTTCTTCCGGTTTTATAACTGTCCAAAAACAGCCAAACTCGCAACTTTGGACTGCTCTAGCTCGTGACCTAATTAACTCGATTTTTGTGGATTCTTAATGTCCTCATTCCAGTGATGTATAACAATAGTTTTTAATGCAAAATTGAAATTCCCGATTTTTTTAAATTTCGGTGTCTTTTAACAATATTTTCTTTCCTTTGAACTGGGTGTATGTATATCTTAAGACCTATTTGTTGTTGAAGCTTGGAATTCGGAACACAACGAGACATTTTGAATATGAATTAACTTATGACAAAAAAGTTGAGGTGGGCATGGCACATTAGGGTTAAATTACTTATTTTTTACATTTTTATCAGGTGTATAACATACATAGAATTCATTTGTTCAAAACAAGACCTTGCTCACAATTACCTCACACTATTGGCCAGTGTGTGTAAAAAGGTCAGTTGTTTCAGCTTCGTAGTTCAAAAAAGGAACAGAGTTTAAAGTTTACATAATTTCAATTTTTGACCTTTACCTTTGATAATCTTGACCTTTGTAGGATCGAAGGTCATTGATCTTGGCTAAAGATTGATACCTTCATAATTGATCTACTGACACTTTCATATTTGATGTCTGACTTCTACTTCTGCTTTCACAACCTTCCAAAAGAGAATTTTTCTAAAATTTGTCTGCTTTATCACGTGACCTAATTGGTGAGGGTCCAATTTCTTAACAGTTGAAAATAAAGTCCGCATATGCAGAGGCCTCGTACTTATTTCCGCCTTTGCAAAATCTGTAGCATAGCATATCTTCATGAGCCCAGTCAGGTAAAAAGTTGTAGGACGTTAAGATTTTTTATATTTACCGTATAATTGTGAATATAATGCGCACTTCTCTAACCCTCAATTTTAAACCTCAATACATAAAAATATACGATATTTTGTATAGTTTCAGTTCACTACTAGCGAAGAAAGCGGAACAAAACGTGATCCATTATACAATTAAACCAGAGAAACTCATAGTTTATAATGCTTCTCGACCAAGTGGATGTCGGCGTAAATTTAATAGAGCTCATTGTTTAAAAGATCTACAGAATCAAACCGGACTGAAACAATGTGGAGATCCTGAGTGTTCTTGTTTTCCTCTAGAAGTCTTCGAGAAACCAACACCTGCTAGTTTTTTAGGAACATTCCCGCCAATAACGGAATCAATGTTACCCATCGAGAAAGAACTTCTAGACGTTGAAGTTTTGGTAGACATTAAGAAAACGTCGAGTGCTATTCTGTCAAAGTTGGTTCTAGTAAGTTCTTCAACAATGTTTAAGGTCGGTGATATCATCAACGTACGAGTTGATGTAAAGGACGGAACCGGACGACAGCGGACCGTCGGTGCCGATTTCGTTCAAGTTTGGATGAAATCAGCTAAAGGTCCTAGGCGGGCAAGTAGTGCGGAAGTGGTAGATCTAAAAAACGGAAGTTATGTTGCTACATTAAGAGCATTATGGGAAGGAGATTCAATAATCGTGGGAGCATTGCCCTTTACAAGGGAGGCAAGCGCTTTCAATTTTCAATTAGGACGAGAATACAGATCTATCAATTTATATGTTGGTCATTTTAAAAAGGCGAAACTGAAGGAATTTACTCTCTGTTCCATGTTTTCTGTTATCCCTGGATATAAACTTATCTGTAATTTAACAGAGACGAATTACGGTTATGGGTGGTATTGTGGAAAACCTTTTAATGGTAACCTGACGTGTAATGATTTTGTTTTCGCAAAATATTACGAAGATGTTTATATTCCACTCACTCTAGCTCTATACAACGTTTTTGAAAGGTTAATAATTAGTTGATTTATTTTGTTGTTGTTGATAATCACTGTTTTCCCTATTATGGAAACATATTAATTGTATTTTTAGTCTTTATGGCTATTGACATCAGGCCCGTAGCCAGACATGGTTGTCCGTAGGGGAAATAATTTATCCAAGGTGGCAATGGTGTATGGTGATTAGTTGCAGTAATCGAATTGGTTGGTTGTCAAAATATTTTCAAGGGATGGGAGGGGTGTGTATTGCTTAGAAACATCAGCACAATTTTCTTCCCGTTCCATTTTTGTAGAATTCTGCCCCGTCAAATAAGCAATCAGAGACTTTAAAGAAACAGATGTTTTAGACTACGGCTGTGCTAACCTAATATCAAAATTAATATGGGACGTTATACAAAATAGTACAAGTTGATTTCTTATTGAAAAATTCCATGATATTGTGAATACTTTTATATAAGGAATTTAAGATATCTTATTTTATTTTTCAGACATGATAGAAAAATCATGATTTCAACCCAAATCAAATTAAAAATAGAATCAGGTAATTATGGAAATAACCCCATACTCTATTCGACTGTTAAGTAGAGCCCAGACTTTCTTTTTCATGTGTGGCGGTTTTCTTGGGGGAAAAACATCTTCTACATGATGTTCAATATTAATACTTTAATGTCTCATCTACGCGTTTAATGCACTGTAATGGCGCCCAAACAAAAGTGGCGGACGGGAATCACATGATCAGATTAGAGGGAGTTTAAGTAAAAGTAGGTAATAATGAAAGATATGAGATAACAGAAGATGTAATTATGGATTGTATAATCAAGTAAGTAAAAGAATAAAAAGAGGTTAACACATGATGTATGTCAAAACACCAAGGATTCTTCTAATACACATTTCGACATCGACTTCGCGACGTTTGTGACTTTGGCGTAGACATCGTCCATTAATGTCAAGCTGGCGAAGACAACTTACGCCAATATGGCAACGTCATCTAACGTCACGATGGCGGCGTCATCAGCTAATGTCACGATGGCGACGTCATCAGCTAACGTCAATATGGTGACGTCAACTTAAGTAACGTCAATATGGCGACTTCAACTAACATCATGGTGGTGACGTAAATTAACGCCATTTTGGCGACGTCATCTAACATCATGGTGGCCATGTTAAGTGTTGTCAAGATTTCACTGTAATTTGACGTTGTCAAATCTTTTAACATTAAAAAAAAAACGATTGTAAAACATAATTAGCAAGCTGCCATTTATTTATCAGTGTACTCTGTGATAGACGACATCTGAGGTTTACGATTATTATTATTATGTATCTGTAGATAAATCTTTCATGCTTCCATCTTTATTTTCAGGTCGTACATCCCAGCCCCAGCCAAACAAGATTGATTGTACCAAGTTATCCCGTCGTGAGACCTGGAACATGATACAACCCACTGGATATTTCAACGGAACAGTGTGGGAACATATAAAATGCCACAATCCTGTGAATCAGAGGAACTTTTTAAATTGTTTTAAGAACACAACTCTGATAGTGTTTGGGGATTCGACCGTTCGTCAATACTATGACCATATACGCAATGTCTTTATATGTAAGCAGACTACAGAGAAGTGGACGAAACGGAAGTGGTATAAGGCATCCCATTGTCAGGTTCCTCGGTATAATTTTAGTCTCACATGGGCAGTTCAAGAACTTCCCTTTGAAGAAGCTTTGAAAGCACCAGATGGAAAAACAAAGTCGAAACCGGCATCTGTTCTGTTGGACGAGGCATCGAGTTCTGGACGTATCGTTTTCGTCATTCACTACTACGTTCATTTTATGCGAATGCATTATTCATCTTTTATTGAGAGGATTCGATCTCTAAAAACACCAATCCGAAACGCCTTAAAGAGAAATAAGAACATACATATAGCAATCAAATCACCGCACGTGTTTTATATAACGAGGTGTCCAACACATTTCAGTATATATCACGGCAAACTTTACATGGATATATTGAAAACAGAACTGGCCGAATTTCATGATAAAGTATGGTTTTTAAATTTCTGGGACATGAGTACAGCGTTCGAAAATGACAAAATGCATCCGCCCAATGATTTTGTGTGGCAAAATTTGCGGTTGTTGGCAGGTTATGTGTGTAATAAATAAGTTCGACATTTTGGGTGGTGGATTTGGTTTTAAATATATGTAAATAGCCTTCAGAAGTACTAGAAATGTACAAAAATCTCATAATTCTTTTAAAAAGATTTCAAACTAGGAATTTCACTTTTTATTTCTATATATGGCATATATAGCTTAGCTACAAAATTCCCGTTTCTTGATCAAACAGATGGCGAATTGGTCTCATTAGCATAACTGGTGTGTAAACGTAATTCATCATTATTTTTGGATCCGATCTTTAAAAAAAACAATCCGAAACGCCTTAGAGAATTAAAAGATATATATTGCAATCAAATCAACGCATATATTTTACTTTTAATTTATCATTAGTCCCCAAGGACAGGGCCCGGTTCTCAAAAACTCGTACGACTTAAGACTAACCTTACGATTGCAGAATTGTAGAAAAATAAAGAAGATGTTTTCGTCAAAGAGGTTAGCCTATTGAAAATATATCTTTATATATATGGTAAAAGGGAAATCTTCATCCTCATTAACAGCGGACAATAACGCTAAATTTTAGAATAAAGCTATAGAAAGTAGTCTATAGGCAAGACCGTTTTCCAAGGGACGATTTTTACGGGCGAGGCAAAATTGTTCATTGCAATTCATTGACCACTTGTAAGTTTACACCAGAATTAGTCGTAAACTTACGATAATTTTGATCTTACGATTGTTGAGGATCCGTAGCATGTCAGCCCATTTCTGGTTGATACTAGAAGATACGATACTGCAGAATTCCGAAAAGGAGTATTCTTAGTCTCGATATCCTCCAGGCCCAGACTTTCCTTAGCACAACGGTCTGATCATTGCCAGGAATGGAGACGTGCAATGGGACTCATACTAGTTTGATCTTGTGGTTGTTGTTGGTTTTGGTACTTGTGGATCATTCTTCATATTTCGGCGATAACTTCTGACCTGCTATTAGAAGAGGTGAGGTAAAATTGCGGCATGCTCCGTGTAGTTGACGGATAACCATGTTACCGCGTCCCTGATGGCAAGAAGCTCTGCTGTGAGCATGCAAAAGTGCAGGGGGGTCTGTTTACCAACGCGGATGCCTTTTGCTGGAATACGCAAACCGAAACCTGCTGCAGTACTACTTTTGGAACCATCGCTGTAGATCTTCTTTTTTTTCTTTTAGCACTCGGATATACAGGGATACAGGGATTACACCATCACAGATGGTCCCTTGTTGCTACGGTCCCCTATTTGCAAAGTTAAGATTTTAAAAGTTCTATAAAAGATGGTGCGTCCTAACCTTGTGAATGTAACAATCTGACCGTATCAAATTTTTGGATGTTTAAAACTAATCGAAATTAGGAGAGCAAATCATCACTGTGCTTTGAGCCTGGTATTTTTTGGTACAAAATTGGGTGAAATGCAAGTTGACGGATGGGTGGCCGAGGACGGAGTATTAATTACGGACGTCCGATGGCTTAGCCGTACAGTACGTAGTGCATACTCAGGATCTCACAGGGCTGCGCAACGGATATGGGGTACAAATTGGTGAGATGTGCATGGTATTGAGGGACTTACTGGGTAGGAAGCAAGGTAAAGGAAAGGGTGTCCAGTGGGTGTTTTGTGCAACTATAAATGGAGCACAATTTAAATTTCATCTCGGTCTATAGCCCCGATCTCACATAGGCATATTCAAGGACGTGTAAAGAGCGGATGTCCAAATGAGACGATCCGTGTTGTATCCGAGAGAATCCCCACAACGTCCCTCGACATAGCGTGGGATACGCATTTGATCCGTACTGATACATGGATTTTGGCGGAAATTTAAAACATCCGTCAATTCTTTCAGGATAGAAGTCATACGTAGATCCTCATTGCCGTAGAAGCATACTTGGCATACGTGAAAGCATACTTGCCATACGTAACACACACCTCGATAATACCTCGTATCCGTGCTTCCCAAACAGTCATCGGATCATTCACGGAAGCGAAGTACAATTGCAGGGATGGTTTCGTTAGAGTCTCCGTAGTAGCTAATACAGCATGGACAGCTGCGACGTATTTGGATCGTATGTCACGTAAGAACGGCGTATGCTTGCGTGACGTGTTGGTCATGATAGTGCGGTTGAGTGGTTATTATAACACGAATTGTGCAATTCATTAACGATTTGACAGCCCACGAAGAAACTGTGGAATCTTCTGAAAGTGACAATTAAAGTTCGGTGCCTCGGACTATGTTTTGTGTGTTGTAAGCTACACGAAGGTGTCCCCAAAGCAGACTACTGTAAACGAACTGGTTCCAACTGCAAGCTTTCGACACTTCCGAACATGCCGTCGTACAGTCAACAACGTGGCATGATACTGTGACCATCTTCTCTTCCATGTTTATAGATGTAAAATAAATTATTTCAAAGTCCTACATTCCAATCACCAGTACACAGAAACATCGCCTAGAATTTTTACCATGCCAATGAAAAAGAAACCTGCCATCTCTAGAGGCTGCCTGTGCAGCAATTGTACCTGGTGAAGATGTCAATCCACAGAGCAAGCCTGCAAGTTCGTCAGAAGATGATGGGGTCTCACTTGCTGCTACTGTTGCTGAAGTCGGAGGTTCCAGACCAAGTACTAGTGCCCGTCCACAGCATCCAACGTCTGCCAGCAAGTTCCAGTCCAGGCCAACATCAACACCATCTCCATCTCCAGCTGTCCAAGAAGACACACCATCTGGGGAAGACCAACCCACTGCTGCTTGTCCTGATGCGGCGTCTGGGAAGAAGAGACTGAGAAAGGCTGAGAAGCTGCACCTGCCTCAGACGGATGAGCAACTAGTAGCAGATTGGTATCAGGAGCACACCATCTTATACGACCGCACAAGGAGGGACTACAAAGATGTCCACCAAAAGAGCTGCCTCCTCCAAGACATGGCAGTCAAGCTATCTGTCCCTTGCACTGGCCCGCAGTAGAAGACCTGGCTAGAGTCCATGAGAAACAGTGATGGGAAGCTCCTCAAGTCCGGCCTTTCCGGAAAAAGAATCCGACGGAAAAGGAGGAGTGGATCATCAGGAACTTTTCTTCTTTCTTGAACACCGCATCAAGCGGGTCCCATTCCGTCAGGCCGTGAGTTTGAAATCCAAGTTGAAGAAGCAACCTCCAGTACCGGATCTGTGTGATGACAGTGCAAGTGGACTCTGGTCGTGAACAGCTAGAAGGCAAGTCCATCAAAAGAAAGAGGAAGAACACATCAACAGCAGTGATGGACCTGGTAGTCTCAGCCCAACACAAGGCAGCAGAATTGGAGGACAAAATGAAAAGCCTGCAACAGACAGCAGACCCTCACACGGAGTCCGGAAATGGGTCGAGTATATGTACTTTGAGAGCCTACAGCTGGACCACGACAGGATGAGGATGTCCAGGGCATCACGCTTCTGCACCAAGTGAAGTCAAAGGCAAGGGCACAAATACAGCAGCAGTGGCAGTACGGTTGCTGCAGCACTGTCACAATTGCGAATGTGCGTCCGCCTCATCCAGCTGCAAGTTACCAGGGACAACCAACTCCAGGGCTGTCCACATGGTACCCACAGTCTGTACCTAATCTGCAACTGCAGCATCATCAACCACCGTAGGTCGCCTCCAGCATCTCCAACCCAGACAAGGTGCACCCTTCAACGCCCTTCAAGATGAGTACCTACTTGTCATCACTCACCAGCCCGAACGTTTTGTTTGTGCAATCTCCACAGTTTCCGCAGAAGTAAATGATGAACTTTAGTTTTTATTTTGGCCCATTGTTTTGGACATTTGCTGTTCTAATTGTGGCCATTTTTGTTCAATTGTAATGTTATTAATGAAGCCAATTTTTGTTGCCATTTTATATTGTTATAGTGGCCTATTGTTGTTGCACTATTTTGTTGTTATTGACACCTGTTGAAGTTTTTGGTTTGCTTTAATAATTAAAGTTATGAAACTTGACTTGTTTTCATTTAAATTTTTTAATTTACAAAACCTGGCAGTATTTATTAGTAATACAATACAATTTATGAAATATTACAGTTGACAATTTTGAGGACTTGGGCGAATGTGCGACAGCTGCAGGATCAAGTTATCAATTCTTCAGATCATGTCGTCTGGCCATGGCACACTTCCAGCTTCTGAGTTGATGTAGTCTACCAGGTGCAGGCGCTGCAGCTTTGCATTCTGCGTAGCATAGGTCCCTCTGTTCATACTTGGTATGTCTGGCACTTCCCCATTGTCCCTCCAAAGTCCTGGTATCATCTGGTAGGTATCTCGATCTTCCTGGTCTACCAATATATTCTGGCTGCAGGATACCTCAGTCTCATCATATTGTGGAGGCAGCAACAGGCAATGACGACGGATTCCACTGTCTTTGTCTTCTGTGGCATAGTAGTCAATAAACATATGAATCTTGCTGCCAGGATGCCAAAAGCATTTTCCACCACTCTTCTGGCTCTTGACAATCTGCAGTGATACAGCCTTTGCTCTCTCGTCATGTTCCTCAGGGGCAGAGGTTTCATGAGCCAGCTTCTTAAGGGGAAAGCATCATCTCCCAGTATGAAGAAAGATACTGGTGTGTCTTGACTAGGCAGAGGTTCAGGACGAGGCATACCGATTGTGCCATCTTCCAAAGCTCCCCCCACCATCAGAGCCAGCACCATTTGTACCACACTCGACATGCAGGAACTTGTAGTCTGCATCAACCAGAACCATCAAAACTACTATGCTTGCCATCAATGGCAGGTGTTGTTGGGCAGCTGATGACATCTTCTGCATATGCCTCAATGGTGGCCTCACAGACGTCAGTAACTATTCTGCAGATGGTATTGCTTGCCACTCTAAAGCCATACATGAGAGACTTGTAGCTGTTCCCAGTGGCCAGATATCTAAGGGTGATGGCGAGCTTCAATCCAGGGTCCAAAGCCTTCCTTCAGAATTTGTCTTCTTTGTGTATCTTGGGGCCAACTTTTTCCAGCATCTCTGTAAACATTTCAGATTCAAATCTCAGGAAGTTCCTGTAGTGAGGTTGATCTTCTCACTCAAATTCATATTGCCCCATCTCTGGAGTTCTCACTAGCCAAGATCTAACCCAAAATCTCCTCTTGGCGATTCTTCTCTCGTTGGTGGTATTTCTTTTTCTTCTTTCATCCCTTCTCTGTCTTCTCTCTAGCTCTGTTATTTCTTTTTCTACAGCTGCAAGAGCTGATGTGTACAATAAGATCCATACTACTTTTGGCAATCTGCAACATTAGTCTTTGGTCTGGTCTGATATACACACACATGTTGACTGTTTGGTAGGCAGGCAGACATAGCCTGAGATGACATTTAAATGTGTGCTCCTTTTATATTTGCACAAAAAACCGTCAGGACACCCTTTGTATTTCATTACCGTAGCTGCCTTGCATTTTGCCTGCTCAATACGTATTGCATACCTCGCAGCCTCCGAGTCAACCTTCATTACCGTGGAGCTTCCCTGACTCATCCGTTGCGCAGCCCTGTAAGATGGGGGCTTATGCCTGCCTAACCAAACAGTCAACATGTTAACATCGTTAATGAATTGCACCAATTAAAATTCCTTTTATAATAAACACTCAGCCGCACTAACATGACCCCTAGCATTGTCCAACACGCTACGCTCACGCCAGTATACGCTGTTCATCCGTGACACACGGCTCAAATACGTTGCAGCCGTCCATGATCATAGTAGCACACGGGACTCTAACATAGCGTCCCTGCATTTGTACGTCGCTCCCGTGAATGATCCGATGACTGTTTGGGAAGCACGGATACGAGGTATTATCGAGGTGTGTGTTACGTATGGCAAGTATGCTTTCACGTATGCCAAGTATGATTTTATGGCAATGAAGATTTTTCTGCGTATGACTTCTATCCTGTAAAAATTGACGGATGTTTTAAACATGTTTGAAATTATGCCAAAATCCACGTATCAGTACGGATCAAGTACGTATCGCACGCATGTCGAGGGACGTTGTGGGGATGCTGTAGAATACAACACGGATCGTCTTATATGGTCACCCACGCTTCATACGGCCTTGAATTCGCCTATGTGAGATCGGGGCTTTTAGAGACATGATGTTTTATGTTTTATTATTTTTTTTTGTCTCTTGAGTGCATTCTTTGATCTTTTTTTTCACTCATTGTTATCATTATTTATTTGATCTTAACAATATATATAAGATGGTAAAATACATTAAGATTATTAAGATAATAGGTTGTACAAAGGGGGAGTATCACAGTAAATGTATTTGTGAATTAACAAATAATATATAAAAAGGTTAAAAACACAGAATATATATTACTATATAAATATACATGTATAAAACAATAACATCACAGAATAAAGGCAATTATGAATCATAGTAACTTAGGTGGGTAAAGTATCACAGGTAAATTTATTGGGTAAAAACAGATATAAAGCTAAAAAAAAATTAAAACAGGTAAAACATAACAAAAATACATATTTAAAATTTTTCAGTATCACCATGTTCCATAATACATTATGGGCTATTCTGTGATCTAAATTAATCATTTTAAGTGTTTTAAAGTTCTTAAAAATATTAGCCCATGTAACTGACCAATTTACTTCAATATTCTGTTTCTCCCAGTGTTTAACACCTGTAGAAATAACATCTTTAAGTTTAAATAATATTTTGTAGCAGAATTTGGAAGTCAAATGATCATATGGAACTTTGTTACCATCAATATTAAAAACATTTTCACCAGTAGGGACTATAAAGGAGCAAGAATTAATAATATCTACCCATTTTTCGGGTACTGACTCTTTAATATGATTGTAAGTAATATGAAAAATAGAATTTAAAACATTAAAATAAATAGGCTTTAAAATATCACTAAAACAAATAAAAAACTCAGCTGTCAAGCCGTCAACTCCTGGGCTTTTACCTCTTGACATTGAGTTTAAAGCATTAAAAATTTCTTCTATTAAAATGGGGGAGTCTAAAAATTCTTGGTCAGTATTCGATAATGACGTTTTTATATTATTACACACTTCTTCTATATAATTAAAATCATCCTCCTTTTCTTTAGAGTAAAGGTTTGAGTAAAAATTAGAAGATTCATATAAAATATCTTGTGTGCTGTTTAAAATATGCCCATTGTTGTCTTCTAATTTTTTAATCAAGTTACTATTTTGTCTCTGTTTCTCTAGATTTAAAAAATAAGAAGTGCATCTGTCACCATCTGTGGAGTATTGAAATTTGCTCCTTAAGATGGCCCCTGAGCACTTAACATTTTCCATCTCTTGTAATTTGATCAATGTTCTTTTATCAATGTTAAGTCAGAGGCCACTTGTTGGGAAAGCCTCTTGTATTCCCCTGAGATCCTGTTTTGGAGGGACCTGAACTCCTCTTTTTCTTTCCTTTTCTTTTTCTTCGAGAAAAACTTTTAATTTTATATTTGAGGTTGTCCCACCAAACTAGGATCTCGTTGGAATACACGGGGCTTTTCCTTGTATTTTTAATAATATCCTTAATACATTGAATATAGTTACTATCTTTAAGTAATAAATTGTTAAAAATATATACACCCGGACCCCTCTCGCATTCATTAAAATCAATTGAAATTGAAACTGTTTTATGATCAGATAGAGTTGTATGTGTGATAAAAACTTAAAACATGATGAATAAAATTGCGGGGTATAAAAATATAGTCTAATCTACTTGCTTTTAAAACGTTATTTAAAAAATTAGTGTACTTAACTTTATCTGGGTTCCGGTATCTAAAAATGTCACATAGATTATTGCGGGTTATAAAACTATTAAAAATATGTACACTTTGTTTACTAGAGGCCATGCCTTTGGCCCCATCCATCTTGTAATATGTCCCAGAATTGCAGGTAAAACTCTTTCGGAATTCCATCAACCCCGGGGGATTTGTTGTTTTGGAATTCCGAAAGAGCTTTATGAATTTCAGATTTTGTTATGAGAATTTGAGAGATTGGATTTGTTTTCATAATCCTCAATTACCCTATCAGAAATCGGGTCCTCAGTGTAAGGTCCATTTAAAAGCTCTAGACGATGTTGAGGATGTCTTCCTGGGAAGATTTAATTTTCCCAGTTTTAAGTTTCCGTATCTCCTTTCTTGTCGAATTATCCAATTCTGCGTTTAGAAATATTCCGAGATTTTCAATGTCGGAATCCTCTAAAGGCAGCTTGGATCGTATCAGAATGCCTTCATTAATTTTATTTTCTTTTTTTTCGGGTTTGAATACAGTAATTCCAGACAGGTTTTATTTTGTTGGTTTAAAGTAAGGCATGTTTCAATTTCGTTTATTTCATTTTGTATGTTTTCAATTTCAGCTTTGATGGTTCTAGTTCTGGTTTTTTAGTAGCGGGTCGAAATAGTTTTAATTTTGGCTTTACCTTCCTCCCACCAAGAGGTTAGGTCTTCATAGTTGGGTTTATTACTCTTCCAATTAGACCAGTTTTATCAGTAATGATTCCAACTTCTCGTAAGCATGCAAAATCGTTTAATTTGAAGAAATCTAAAATTTGACGTTTTTTCGTCTCAAAGCCGGATTGAATGGTTAAAGTTGATATTATCATGATATGAATTTGGTAAGGGTTGAAAATTTGATTTCAAATAGTGAATAAGTAAGATGATATTTAAGCCAAAATTAGTTTTTGACACTTCTATTATGTGATAACGATCTCTTCCGGTCTTTTTGATTTTTACCGGCATCGTAACTACTGGCCCTAGAGTCCTGACTACCCACAGTTCTATCTCGTGAGATAGATCTCTGGACAGTCTTTCTATGTTCTTCCAATCTGTTTTTCTTTTCTTGGTTATCTTCATATGGACTTGTAGTTGGTCTTTTCGACGAAGATTTTGCAGGGGTTTGTTTAGGGTATCTGGCATCGGATTAATAGACTTTTGAAGTCCTTCCGCATCAGTCCGGAGTTATAGTCATCGATGTTGAGCTCGTCCCAACCTGTGGGAGTTCAACCTCGATGTCTGGGACGGGAGTTGAGGTTGCCAGTTCCGATTCAGAATTCTTCTGCTCCTCGTAGGCACTTCTGATACTCTGTGTTTCTGCTAATAGAGCACCAGTCCTATCAATTATTTGGTGGCTTTCCGGACAATGGTCTTGAACTTTGCCCGTACTATAATAGCTATTTCCGGTTTGTTGTATATGGCTAGCTAGCCTCTGTAGACTGGACAAATTCTATCTGTGCAATCCTCTTCAGTTGTGTGTGCAATATATATAAAAATGTGCAGATCTTGTAATTTGATACCTGTCCTATATCGTGGGTGACCGCTTGAAACCTCGTATATGCCATATTTGGTCATTTTCACTTTTTGGTACCGTTCGAAAGCTCTTAAAGCGCGCATCTTCTGAAAGGACACTCATATCTCTAACTCGATTGTAAATAACCTAAAAATACTGAATAATTAACACGGATATTAAAATGTTATACGAGGTTTTAATTCTTTTATTGTGTGTGAATGAAAATAAGAAAACCTCGTATACTGTTATACGAGTTTTTGATTGAATAAACAGAGTTTTCTTACTTTTACTATATTATTACACGAGGTTTAAATTCCCAAGGTCAGAACGACACTGTCGATGGAGCCTGTTGAAACGACGTCAAACTTAAGACTTTCGACTTGTTTACAACAATGTCATAACAAGCGTCCATAAACTAACCAGAAACAAGCAAAGAAAACGTGAAACGACCAGGAAACGACCTCAAACTATTTTGGTATATTTCTATTTTTGTTTTGCCGTTCGGATCGTTTGTACTTGGGTTTTTGTTATTCTAATCATGCTAATCATTTTAAGAAAATGTCCATTTTATTTGTGGTTCACTGTATTGACCTACATATTTCATATTTCTCAGTTGAGTGCATTTTTTCCGTGATATAACGCACATAACCCACACCTATTTCAGTTTCATGTATAACTAATTGATATATTTATTATGATGTTTCTGTTTAAAGCCGAATAATATCACATGTATGGAATATCATTGATCATTATGAGCACAATACTTTTAACCTCAGTACCAATTATACTATACAGTGTTGTCTTGAAGTTTAAAGATACTCTATGATACATAAAGTTTATAAAAAGTCAACAAATATACTAGAGATGATACTTAGCAAAAATTTTGAGTGGTAACCCTTTTCCCCTAAATTACTTCAAAAACAGCTTACCCATATGTTATAAAGAAGAACAACAAAATAATAATTCATATGAGGGTATTCAAAAATATCAAGAATGGGTCACTTTAATTTTTCATGATTTTCAGAGTCATAAAGTGCACTTCTAAAAAATGCATAAGCCTATATTTTGAAAATTTTTTACTCGTTTGGTCTAATTAGCTTGCTTAGCATTTATGGCAAGATAGTTTCTACTAGCTTCTTGGTCGTTTCTGCTAGATTCTTGGTCGTTTCGGCTAGTTTCCTGTTAGCTTCCGGGTCATTGCAGCTAGTTTCTCTACTAGTTTTCTGGTCGTTTGTACTAGCTTCCTGGTCGTTTCGGCTAGTTTCCTGCTCGTTTCTGCTATCTTGCGGGTCATTGCGGCTAGTTTTCTGGTCGTCTGCTAATTTTCTGATCGTTTCTACTAGCTTTCTGGTCGTTTCTACAAGATTCCTGGTGGTTTTTTTGCTCGGTCCATGTTATAATGAATTTAAAGTGACCTTATTTACATTCACTTTCATTGTGATTTCATTTATCCATAGCAGTTTTTAGAATAACGGCCTGGAAAATCAAAACTTTTGAAATACAATTTTGTTTAATTTTCGGGGAAGCGGATCACCGATTTTATTTCTGAAAACTGATACGGATAGATGTGCTTTATCAAAACTAGTGTTGGACACGATGCGTCACTGAGGCCATCTCAATTTAACAAAAAAACATTGTTACTTTATTTTTCCAATTACAACAACTTTTTTTCTTGAAGATAACACTATGATTAAGAAAAAAATATATAGCAGAGGTATGCTAATGGTCAGTTTAGCTGCAGCAAGATCAAGATCTTCATCCAGCCTCTTCATCCAGCACATCAAAACAAAAACTGTCCACAAAACAGGGAACTAAACTACACCTTTCTGATTGTAACAATGTATCCCATGCCACACCCGAAGAATTCTCACAAAAAGCTGATGTTCATATCGCCTTTCAAGGAGACAGATCACACGCAACTACAATTTCTACTAATCGAAACCTTCAGGGAGCCCAATCACCACAACCAGCTGATGCTCATATTGTTTTTCAAAGTGAAACATTGCTCCCAACTCTTTCTACGGACCGAACCGTTCAGGATACCGAATTACCGCAAACCACTGACACCCATATTGTTTTTTTAAAGGGAAACACTGCTCCGTACACCATCCTCGGACCGAATCTTTCAGGGTACCGAATCATCTCAAGCCACTGATGCTTATCTTTCCTTTCGATGGGACACACCACACGCAAATACTCCCTCTTCTTACCAAATACAACATGGTGCCGATTCATCACAATCAACCGATACTTATTTTAACTGCCCAAGCGACACGCCACACGAAACTATATCTACTTACCTTCATGGCGCAGCTCCATTTACTGACCGACCACTTAAGGGTGCCGACTCATCAGAAACAGCTGCTTCTCATATCGCCTTTCCAAGGGACACGCCACAGGAAACTATCTCTACTTACCAAACATTTCATGGTGCATCGCCATTAACTTACCGATCACTTCAGGGCGCCAAATCATCAGAAACGGATGATGCTAATCTTGTCTTTCCAAGGGACACACCACACGAATCTTCTATCTCTACTTATAGAACGCTGCATGGTGCAGCATCAACACAAACAGCTAATATTAATCTTGTAAATACGATGGCTACTTACCAAAACCATTCAAACACTTACCTGGTAAAAGCTGGATATTATGCTCCGACTAAGATTTCTTGTTCCGAACCTACTATATATGAACAATCAACTGGAAAACACTTTATAGGAGAATGTTTATTTCAAGAACTGAATGATGATGTGATGCCTGGCCTAGGTAACCAAGAAGTCGTCGATCTACTATCGGATGTTATTTTTAGAGACCTATTCATCTTAAAGAAATGGACTGTTCAGCTGAAACACTGTTACAAGTATCAACAATTGAAAATTGAAGATACATCAAACAAACACGTTGTTCAGGATGTTGTCCAAGATATTGTCCAAGATATTGTTCAACAAGATGAACATCGATCTAACGAAAACACAACTGTGGATCAAGATGAAATTGTTGATAAAACTACAAGAAAAAGAAATATAGTCAGCAGTAAAGAATAGTGGATCACCGTAAAAAATAAACGCCTTAGGATGGAGGGTAAGAGTTTTGGGTGCAAGATGTAACTCTAAAACACGCCAAGCCTCAAAGAAACGACATTGCAACGAATTAGAATATGGTGACAGACGGGAAGTTCATGCTGCTTTCTGAGTAATACTTGAGTAATAGTCAGCCTGATATTAACATAGTTTCCCTTCATATACTCCCGGAGGACATCACAGCTTCTTATTGGTGTTTCCGATGAACCTGAACCTGACCTTGCAAATAGATATGCATTCTCAGCGCCTATTCCGCCTTCCATTCGGTTTTTGATCAATAATTCAATGATTTGTTTGTTTTCTTTGGTCAAAGTACAGCCACCCTTCTTCCTCTTTTGCCTCTTATTTCGACACTGTACATGAAATTGCATAATTTAAGTTCTAGTTATGAAAGAGAATTTTTCACTTCAGATGCCATCGTGTTTTGTTTGTTGCTGAAACCATCAAGAAATTGTTGTAAAAGAAGTAGCTATGTTTCCCCTCCTCTTAGTCTATTGAAAAGGACTCACTGAACAAGTAAGGTCCTACCAAAGTTTATCCATATTGTGGAATTTGCGTGAGTTTCTTATTGTCTTTTTTCAAATTCTGCCTTTGCTTTCAGATAATTATTCAGTATTTGCAGGTCTTCTGTATGTGGTAATCAATTTGGTTTAGTGAATTAAGCTTTGTCAAGGGTTTCCCTTGCCAACACAGACACTTCAATATTCCATTCAGCATTACACAAGTCCAGAAAATCTAAGGCATCTTTCTTTAATGACTGTCTCCAGCAATGATTGCTTCCGCTTTCAAATTCTCGGTACATTTTTTAAGTGATCTACCAAGTGTAGGTGCAAAAAATAGTGTTTTGAAAGACACGCTTTCTTCACAAAATTGGGCAACTTCTTTGGTAGCTTCCAAGATATTATGAAAAAACGTTGACTTGATATTAAGCCACTTGTATTAAGCAGCCAATCAATGGAATGCTCAAAAGTGGCTGCTTACTAAGGGGTGGTGCTTAATAGAGGTATGGTTTACCCAGCTAAGAATGACAGGTTGATATTTTGAGATAACATTTAATAATAACAATAACAATACATGTATAACAATAGAAATGGACTTAACGATGTTCAACATTAAAATAATCTTTTAGACATGTCTGTTTAACACTTTTGATTTTCTTGTTGCTAATTTTTCCCTGAATTATCAGATCGCACTGCATATTCATATAATCTTCAATGGTGTGTGAAATTTGGTTGAAAGTTGCATGGGAAGTATTTTTGGTGGCCGTTCATTAAAGGGTGGTGCTGAATACAGGTGACCGTTAGACCAAGTTAGTATATATCTTTTTCCTAACAACTAGAAGTAATCTGGCCAGTTCTCTCATCTTTTGTCTTACATATTGGAATTGTTGTTTATTTTGGGCACATTTTCTAAATAGTTTGATACCATAAGCATCAATTGTAGCATCGTTTCTAGCTGCAAGACTAATCTCATCAAGAGAGAGTTTATCAAAAATCTTCTCTCTAAAGTGAAGAGTGGTATGTTTGGAAACAGGTAGTAAAGCAGCACTTGCCCTTTGATGATAGATTCTATGGTAGGCGGAGGATTTAGGATTACAAATCTTGACATGTCTCCAAAAATCCTATTTTTTGAAGAAAAAAAACCCAAACAATACTGGTATGGGATATAATTTGAGTTGGACTTCTAACTGTTATAATTTGACCATGACCATCTTCAAGAGTGGTTTTATTGTGCAAATAACTTTAACGGTTTATGATATTCTTAAATTGGACTCTTCGTTCTTTTGCATTCTTCGGGAAAGACATCTATTTCTTTGCTGTGCATTGCTTCGAAATGCCTGGCCATTTTTGAAAATGATTTACTGCAAAACAAATATTAATTTTGTTTACTGTTACGCTTCCCTTCACTTCTCAACAGATGGATATTTTGAACTAGATGTTACTGAGGTACTATCAGGTAAGGTCAATAATAATATAAGGAACAATAGGAATGATATCAATTATCAACCCGGACCACTTTAGGTATATCATAAGTGTCTTCAGTAGAGGAGGATTCCAAGAATCAGATGAGGACACTACTACATCATCGAGGTCAGGGAAAAGGGATTCCACGGCCTTTCTGGTTTATCTGGGATCTGGTGTAAGGCTTTTGACTACTTTAGTAAGTTGTTGAGGTTGGTCCATAGTAACATGTTGATTTTGATCCATAGTTAGTTGTTGAGGTTGGTCCATAGTAACATGTTGATTTTGATCCATAGTAAGTTGTTGAGGTTGGTCCATAGTAACATGTTGATTTTGATCCATAGTAAGTTGTTGAGGTTGGTCCATAGTAACATGTTGATTTTGATCCATAGTAAGTTGTTGAGGTTGGTCCATAGTAAGTTGTAACATATTCTTATTCATACCCATGCTACAATCATTAGTTTTCATGGGGAGGGGCTTAGGTGTGCTACAACTTCGAAATTTCACTAGTTGTTGCACGGTGGCCATTTTTGGGGAGTGTCTTGGCAAAGCATCAAGGTCCCGCCCAGTTTTACTTGGCTTGAAGTCAAACCTTGTTAACTCAAGGTGACAACTTTTCAAAATAAATGAACTCCAAAACAGTGTTTATTTCAACATCTCATAAACAGTATTTCTTTACATAAAAGTAAATTTACAATTATTGAAATGTACTGGTCCGCAAGTGTTGATAAATTCGTTAAAACGTGTGTCCTTCAGTGGGGGTGGGGAAACCGAAATTTTCGCTTTTTTAGAAACAGGTTCACTACTTTCTTTAGCACTTATTGGCGCCTCCAAAACACTTGAAACCTGTTTCTGCAACTCGTCGGATTTAATTTTGTTTGCGGTACATTTCAGTAGCACAGGTCTTCTTACCGGAGTGGTTAGTGTAATTTACGACTAAACCAGCTTGTTGACACATTTCTTTCATGAAATTACCTAATTTATTAATCCCAACAGGCTGCTTTCCATATCTTATGCCATTCTGTAATGGCTTTCTATAAAACATTCCAGATTCTATCGCGTCTAAATAGGTTTTAAATACTGTATATAAACATCTTTGACCTAAAATACACAAATATAAGAAATAAAGGATACCAATTGTCGGACAGCATACATATTTCACAATGTGACTAAAAAGGCCATAAATCTAAGGCATCTTTCTTTAATGACTGTCTCCAGCAATGATTGCTTCCGCTTTCAAATTCTCGGTACATTTTTTAAGTGATCTACCAAGTGTAGGTGCAAAAAATAGTGTTTTGAAAGACACGCTTTCTTCACAAAATTGGGCAACTTCTTTAGTAGCTTCCAAGATATTATGAAAAAACGTTGACTTGATATTAAGCCACTTGTATTAAGCAGCCAATCAATGGAATGCTCAAAAGTGGCTGCTTACTAAGGGGTGGTGCTTAATAGAGGTATGGTTTACCCAGCTAAGAATGACAAGTTGATATTTTGAGATAACATTTAATAATAACAATAACGATGTTCAACATTAAAATAATCTTTTAGACATGTCTGTTTAACACTTTTGATTTTCTTGTTGCTAATTTTTCCCTGAATTATCAGATCGCACTGCATATTCATATAATCTTCAATGGTGTGTGAAATTTGGTTGAAAATTGCATGGGAAGTATTTTTGGTGGCCGTTCATTAAAGGGTGGTGCTGAATACAGGTGACCGTTAGACCAAGTTAGTATATATCTTTTTCCTAACAACTAGAAGTAATCTGGCCAGTTCTCCCATCTTTTGTCTTACATATTGGAATTGTTGTTTATTTTGGGCACATTTTCTAAATAGTTTGATACCATAAGCATCAATTGTAGCATCGTTTCTAGCTGCAAGACTAATCTCATCAAGAGAGAGTTTATCTAAAATCTTCTCTCTAAAGTGAAGAGTGGTATTTTTGGAAACAGGTAGTAAAGCAGCACTTGCCCTTTGATGATAGATTCTATGGTAGGCGGAGGATTTAGGATTACAAATATTGGCATGTCTCCAAAAATCCTGTTTTTTGAAAAAAAAAACCCAAACAATACTGGTATGGGATATAATTTGAGTTGGACTTCTAACTGTTATAATTTGACCATGACCATCTTCAAGAGTGGTTTTATTGTGCAAATAACTTTAACGGTTTATGATATTCTTAAATTGGACTCTTCGTTCTTTTGCATTCTTCGGGAAAGACATCTATTTCTTAGCTGTGCATTGCTTCGAAATGCCTGGCCATTTTTGAAAATGATTTACTGCAAAACAAATATTAATTTTGTTTACTGTTACGCTTCCCTTCACTTAAGTATGTTTGAGCTACATTCAAATCCTCAACAGATTGATATTTTGAACTAGATGTTACTGAGGTACTATCAGGTAAGGTCAATAATAATATAAGGAACAATAGGAATGATATCAGATTCCTCGGAAGAATGTCAATTATCAACCCGGACCACTTTAGGTATATCATAAGTGTCTTCAGTAGAGGAGGATTCCAAGAATCAGATGAGGACACCACTACATCATCGAGGTCAGGGAAAAGGGATTTACTCGGCATCGTGGTATCGTATTTAGCCTTTCTCCTCAATCTGGGCTCTAGTGAAAGGCTTTTGACTACTTTAGTAAGTTGTTGAGGTTTGTTCATAGTAAGTTGTTGAGGTTGGTCCATAGTAATAGCCTCATTGTCTTCATTAGAGGAGAATCCCGAATCAGGATTCCAAGAATCAGATGAGGACACTACTACATCATCGAGGTCAGGGAAAAGGGATTCCACGGCCTTTCTGGTTTATCTGGGATCTGGTGTAAGGCTTTTGACTACTTTAGTAAGTTGTTGAGGTTGGTCCATAGTAACATGTTGATTTTGATCCATAGTAAGTTGTTGAGGTTGGTCCATAGTTAGTTGTTGAGGTTGGTCCATAGTAACATGTTGATTTTGATCCATAGTAAGTTGTTGAGGTTGGTCCATAGCAACATGTTGATTTTGATCCATAGTAAGTTGTTGAGGTTGGTCCATAGTAAGTTGTAACATATTCTTATTCATACCCATGCTACAATCATTAGTTTTCATGGGGAGGGGCTTAGGTGTGCTACAACTTCGAAATTTCACTAGTTGTTGCACGGTGGCCATTTTTGGGGAGTGTCTTGGCAAAGCATCAAGGTCTCGCCCAGTTTTACTTGGCTTGAAGTCAAACCTTGTTAACTCAAGGTGACAACTTTTCAAAATAAATGAACTCCAAAACAGTGTTTATTTCAACATCTCATAAACAGTATTTCTTTACATAAAAGTAAATTTACAATTATTGAAATGTACTGGTCCGCAAGTGTTGATTAATTCGTTAAAACGTGTGTCCTTCAGTGGGGGTGGGGAAACAGAAATTTTCGCTTTTTTAGAAACAGGTTCACTACTTTCTTTAGCACTTATTGGCGCCTCTAAAACACTTGAAACCTGTTTCTGCAACTCGTCGGATTTAATTTTGTAAACCCTACACGCCTCGACAGATCTATGACCTGTGCGTTCCATGATGGATTGTTCATCTTGTCCATTGCGGTACATTTCAGTAGCACAGATCTTCTTACCGGAGTGGTTAGTGTAATTTCCGACTAAACCAGCTTGTTGACACATTTCTTTCATGAAATTACCTAATTTATTAATCCCAACAGGCTGCTTTCCATATCTTATGCCATTCTGTAATGGCTTTCTATAAAACATTCCAGATTCTATCGCGTCTAAATAGGTTTTAAATACTGTATATAAACATCTTTGACCTAAAATACACAAATATAAGAAATAAAGGATACCAATTGTCAGACAGCATACATATTTCATAATGTGACTAAAAAGGCCATAAAAGTCAGAATGAGTAATTTTGTCAAAAATCTCGCATATTATCCCTTTAAAATTTCTACAGGCTACACTTTGATAAGGATACGTCATAACCTTGTGGTGTATGATTACTTTGATTATTTTATTATACAGATTTTAGAACTCACCTCCGTAATTAGTGCAATAATGCTTTATATCTTTGTTCTTTAACTTCAAATGGGCTAGACCACTAGTAAATGTTTTTTTGTTTCTTCCTATGTATCGTATGTAATAACCATTTTTATCATTACCCAATTCAAACTGGTCAGCTTCTAAATGGCGGTGCTCATCTCTTCCTCGTAGTCCAAACAGTTTACATGCGTAAAAAAATACTGTGTACTGTAAACTCGTTGAGTTGGTAAAACCAAAGACACCAGAATTCCACAACTTATCCTCATCTTCGTTTGATACGGGGTCAGCAGTTTTCGGTTTACAACCGACTCCTTTGGCTTACTAATTCCTTCATCTTGGCATCTAACATCTTTCTGGTTAACAGAAAACGTTTATCAGCTTCCTCCAGAATGTTAATGGAAATATTATGGTCCTTCAAGTGTCTCATAAGCCCACAAATGATATAATAAACTGATTTAGGGAAATACTCATCTCCGTTCATTTTACGCAATTCTACAATAATCTAATTCTTCTGCTGTCATATCTTGCAATTCAGGTATATCATTATCACCCTTCGATCGACATTTCCGCCATTCATTGAATATATTTAGTGACCATTTAGTATTCTTTCTGGTATTAGCATTTGTTTGTGAATGTATTAAAGTGTCTATTTCAAACTGAGATACTTGCGTTTGAAACCTTTCAACCACAACCGATTTCACTTCCTCTTTAACTTGTTCCTCGGCTGTAGAAATTACGTTAAATTCACCACAATCAGATTCTTTCTCCATCTCTGCTTTAACAAATTCCTCTGCAGTAGAAATAAGGTTCAATTCGCCGTAATCCACATCTTTCTCAATATCATTTTTCACTGCTAATTCCTTTTCTATATCGTCTAAATTTTGTGAAAGAATAATATCTTCATCGTCGTTATCATTAAATAAACACTGTGACATTGCGTCTGTACGTCGCGAATTGAAATATATCAACTGATGTATACAGGTGTTGATGACCTATTTTTATATGTTCGCCGCTCGTTATGCACGTGTAGTTTTTAAGAACAATTCACTTGTCTATACGTCAATCAATATGTTACAAGTATTTTATAGCACGTGTATTCGTTAAATTATTCAAGACACTCGGGGGCTACGCCCCCTCGTGACTTCAATAATTTAACTCATAAAACTTGTGCTATAAATTATACTTGTGTAGGTTGATCCACAGTAAGTTGTCGAGGTTATAATAATAATAATTTATTATATTTGAAGAACATATATACAATAATGGCATAAGTTAATAATAATAATAACAATTCTCATAATATACAAGTTTAAATGTTCATTGCATGCAAATGTGGAATATTGAATTTTCTTATAACCAGTTTTCAAATAAATACATAATGTAGTGTACAACTAGCGATATACAATGATCTAATATACAATCGAAGATTAAATAAATATATAGACACATAAATCAAATTATAGAATTACAACAGGGATTTTTCTCATTTTCAGTGCATGATAAATAAACTTTGCAAGGGCAGTTCAAACATTTAGATCATTATTTGAAATGACATTATAAAATGTTTCCATCGAAGTGTGAGATATGTATTGACTTACGTAGGTTTTACGAATTTCAGTGTAAAAAGTGCATTCGAAGATTACGCGGAACTCATTTTCAATTTTTCCCCTATTACAAAGTTCACATTGTCTTTCTCTTTCGGGTATGCCTAACCATCTACCTTTAACATTTTGTAAACTGGGAGCCGAACATCTAAATTTACATAAAACTTGATTAAATTTGTAAATTTAATAAATATTTAAATATATTTCTAAGGCAGTTTTATACACATAATAATCATTTAGCAAGGAGTTACTAGCTACATTACATCGCCATTCTTGAAAGCAGCAGTCATCTATTCTCTGTTTGATAAGATTCGGGAAGCACTCCTTATTACCCACTGATTGCCCTATCCAGGCGTATCCAAAGCCATATCTGAACAATAATGATTTAACATATGTGACCCACTTAACACCACCATCCAACTTATACAACATTTGATAAATATTCCTTGGGAGTCTATGATCTTGCATTTCTAGTAAACAAGTTCAGTACTAAATACATTTCATCGAATATTTAGACAACAATGGTCGTCTTCCACATTCACATAGGACAGCAGCGTTACATGCTTGACTCGGTAATTTTTCAGAAATTTCATTTGTACATGTACCATTGACTGGTACAAGCTATGGCCTCATATTTCCGCCCCGTATGTTAGGATTGGATATATCATGTGATCGAATATTAAGTGCTATGTCAATTGGAATTCCAAGCAGTTTTCTATTGAGACATTTAACTAGTGCAAGTGCCTTTTGGTTTGGATTTTTAGTGTGTCGAGGGCTCTATTCCAGATCAGCTTAGGTGTAAATATCAAACCTAGATACTTATAATTATTTACACATTCTATGGTATTTCCTGCAAGTTGCCATTTCTAGTACGATATTAGAGCACCACCATTCCTTAAGACAATAACCTTTGTCTTGTTCTTGTTAACAGACATACCGTACTTCTTACAGAATAGTTGTTTGTGAAGATGGAATGCTGTATCAGCAATGTTACTGATATCGTCTGCAAAAAGCAAGGAAAAGACATTGTTATGAGCCCCATTGACAAATACACCCTTGCAACCTTGTTGTTCCATTTCAGTTACAAACTGATTAATAAAAAGCGAGAACAATATTGGACTTAAAATACATCCTTGACGAGTGCCAATACAACATGGAAATTTTTCAGTTTTACCATCTGACGGTTTAACACAAGATTTACAATTACTATACATGTTTCTTAAGATCTTAAGGAATTTTCCATGAATTCCGCATTTAATTAGGCAAGACCACAGGTACTCGTGATGGACAGAATCGAATGCACATCTAAAATCTACAAATAGACCGTACAGACGCCCACCTTTTTGGAGATGTATTTGCTCACTAAACCTTGTAAATTAAATATTTGGTCAATAGTGCTATATTTCTTTCTAAACCCAGATTGATACTCAGTGATCTTTTCGTAGTTATCACACCATCTGTTGTTAAGTACTTTTGTGGATAGTTTGCTAACAACCGGCAGTATGGATATACCTCTATAATTGTCCACAGAATTCCGAGGGCCTTTCTTGTGGATTGGACATATTATAGCAGTATTCCATTCTACAGGGAAGTCTCCTTGATCGAAGATTTTGTTAAATATAATATTCAATACTGGTATAAATACATTTTTAACTTCTTTGATTGTTTCCAGACATATGCTGTCCATACCAGAAGACTTTCCATGTTTCATATCCGAGAGACACAATTTGAGCTCATTTTCATTAATTGGCAATTTAAGTCCTGTGGCAGATCAGAATCACAATCAGCACAAAGTTCATCATGGATATAAACCTCATTCAGAATATCTGAATCAAGTCAAGTATAATATCAGCGGATCCATACTCTGTATTAATTTGTAGAAGTAATTCTTCTAGATTATCCAGTGTGTTTGTGTCACGGTCGTTCTCCGGAGAAAAAGTTCTTGTCCAATAATAGAGCAGTTATATCTTCCTGCTCTTTTAAGAGTTCTGAAACAAACACTAGTAATCCACCATGCTTACTTTTCTCACGACCTGTCTGATACTGCTTATATTTTTTCACATCTTGAAGGATCAAAGGTTCATACATCCACGTTTCACAGATACCAATAATTCCACTTGAGTTTATTAGGTTAAGAACATCAATATTGTCAATGTGCCTTGCCAAACTTTGGCAGTTCCATGTTATGAGCGTCAATAAATATTCGTTCTCCACATCCCTCATATGATTTTTGTGATTTGAAGTGATGTAACGCGTGTGAGGTAACTGCTACGTGGAGTCTTTCAGGGGTATCAATGTATTTGATTCAAGATCGATGGTAAATGGGTCACTGTTGATGATTATGAATTTATCGTAACTCAGTCAGGCTTTTTATTTTCCTGTATTGGCTGTATAAGGAATGGTATTAATGCTTTTGTTGTTGACCTAACTTTTTCGGAGTAGTCTTTTGACACAGAGATTGGACAGTCAATGAGTTTTTTGGCTTTTGTTAACACTTCATCTCTAATCCTTAAACTTGAGAACATAACAAGCAATGGTTTGAGTCGAGATTGTGATTTCGTTTTCTTGCCTAATCGATATAATCGTTCAAACTTTACCTCTGATATGTCGTTAGCTCTTTCTATCTTGAATTCATTTATGAATACTTCCCTTATCAACTTCTCTGAATTTTCTTTTGTTTCGTTGTTACCACACTCTTCCAAATCATAAAATATCAAATTATTTTGTCTTGCCCGGTTTTCACAGTGATCCAATCTATGCTTTAGTTTTGTATTTTCTGTCTTCAATTCTGAAACATCTTGTTTGATTACAGCTATTTCTTCCTTTATATTAAGCTTATTAACTTGTCCATAGTAATATGCTGAGGTTGATCCATAGTAAGTTGTTGAGGTTGATCCATAGTAACATGTTGAGGTTGGTCCATAGTAAGTTGTTGAGGTTGGTCCATAGTAAGTTGTTGAGGTTGATCCATAGTAAGTTGTTGAGATTGGTCTATAGTAACATGCTGAGGTTGGTCCACAGTAAGTTGTTGAAGTTGATTCATAGTAACATGTTGAGGTTGGTTCTTGTTCTTTTCCATTTCAACATGCATTAATGTCCAAATTACTATCTTCGAGCCCAAATGGCACAATTTTACTAGGTAGAACATGAAATCTGTGAATAAATGCATTTAATAAACATTTAATGAATGAAAAGAGATCATGATTACTGATATTCAATTCTTAGACTAAAGTAACTAATCTTATTCTAGCATCACCTGTTTCAATAGTACCCAATGGCAAAATTTGGATATTGTGGCCATGGGAATATCTGGTTAGAAAGGGTTAATAACTATGTGTTTGCTTGAAATACCTCATCAATTTTCTAAAATATATCCAACAATTGCATAATGTTGCAAATAATTAATTTTGTAGACAGAAACAATAATTATTGTATTTCAAAGACCTGCATTCCACCATCAGCTTGACAGTACACGGAATCCACATCAGGGTTACTTTCAACAACCTACACAGGCCACATTACTTTGTTAAATAGACACCACATAAACAGCCCTATAAATAAAGATTTTCCGACAGACTAGTGTTGCATGGTCCCAGTCTCCTCTGATATATTACCCGCATCAAAACTTCCGTACACATTGTGATCATCTGCATAATTTATTCAATAAGATTAAATTGGTTGTCAACACAATTTCTCAAAGCACTGGAATAGCAGATCAAATAAACTGGACCGTTGATACTTCATTGGGGCACAGAAAAATTTATTGGTTGAACGGTAGAAATAGAATTTCACAAAAAACGACCGAAATTAAACTATAACTGAATGTATTAATTTGGAATCTTCCACTCTTACATGTTTCTATTTAAGAGAATGTTTGGAGGAGAACACGGCTCTCAGTGTTCTCAGGCATATGAAGCCAAAACTTATTTTTGGGTCACGGGAAAGATTCAACCAGTTTAAGAATGTTTTGTTGTTTATTTGCGGAAATACCTCTTGATTGAACCATCTTGTTTGGGTCAGTTTGTAAATTAAATTTTGGTCGCAAGATGCTGTATCGTCAAATGATCGTTTATACCACATTGATCGAGAACCTTGGCCAGAAGGGGAAGCTCCACATTTTTGACTGTCGTGACCTGTGCCCATCTTCAAATAAGTAATCACTGTAAGTCATCACAACAGCTTTAATTGTTGTGCTTGCTTTTTGACGCAATTCAACAAAATCGTGAAAAGTATATTTCTTTCTGTTTTTTTTTCATTTTTGAACCAATGTTTCGGTGAATGCTGTCGGCTCTCATAAAAGTATGCCCTTTTTCAAGAAATTTAATGGTTACACTTGTGGGTCTCCATTCTTTGTTTACACAACATGCAAGGGCAGTAAAAAGAGTCCAGTTCTTGTTCTGACCAGAACAGTTGTCCGACCAAAAAACCACACTGTCTTGTGCTGAAGTCGTCACTCGAGAATTATATTTTTATATTATTATCACTTTTTGTGAAAATGGCGTTACTACCATGGCAATGTTCTATGAATCCAATATTTAAAAAAAAAAATAGTTATAACATAAAATTTTATTTTTCCGCGAAAAAAACACCAATATTAAAATGTTCTATCTTACATAAAAATTAAATTTTAGTATGAGTTTTTTTTAAGTCCATTAACCAATCAAATTCCTTAGAATGGAGCACCTGACTTTCTCTCAGAAAATGGCTTCTGCTAGGCTTAACCTGACAGAGGTCATAGATGAAATCCTTGATGATGATGGTGAAGGCACACAATTAAATGACTTAATGATTTAATATTGAATTTAAAAAAAAGATCGATGTGATCGGTGTGAGGAATTCAGAAATATTAGGCCGCCATCCATCCTGAAATATTGAAAGCATTTGCGAGTATGAATAGCCAAACAGTGAACCTTTCCATAACACACGAAAAGCCTAATCTCACACGAGTGGAACGTGAAGCGTTAAACTTACTTAAGAAAGACGATAGCATTGTTATTAAAAAGAGTGACAAAGGTTCATGTTGTGTCATTCTGAATAGGGAGGATTACGTTTCAAAAGCAGAGAATCAACTGAATAATCCTAAACATTATGCCATTTTACCGAAACCAATTTTCAAAGAAACTGCTAACATGATTAATAATATTCTTGCCGATTTAGTCAAAACTAGTTATCTCAAACAGAAACAATATGACTATCTGTCTGCCAAACCTGATTGTCGCGAGAGACATTTGTACACTTTGCCTAAAATCCATAAGAATCCAACCAAGGAGTGGTTTATCTCGAATAAAATCCCTAAAGGCCGCCCGATTATATCTGACTGTGGTAGTGAGTCATATGCAGTGTCAGAATACATTGATCATTTCTTACTACCTCTAGCATGCCAACATCGCGCCTACCTTAAAGACACAAGGTTTGGATGACATTTTTATGGTTTGGACTTATTCTATCGAACAGTTTTGGGAATTCTTTGAAATTCTCAACAACCACCATCCTTCTATCAAACTAACCGCAAACGTGAGTGACAAAAGCATAGACTTTCTCGATACCACAGTCTTTAAGGGAGATTCCATAGCAGAAACAAATAAACTGGATATTAAAGTGTATTTCAAAGAAACTGATACTCATCAACTCTTGCACAAGAGCTCCTTTCACCCAAAACATACCTTTTCTGGTATAATTAAGTCACAACTTTTACGATTTCATCGAATTTGTACAAGATCTTCTGATTTCAACCAAGCCTGTACGATTGTTTTCTCAAAACTGAAAGAGCGTGGGTGCTCTAAACGATTTTTACGAAACATAAAAAATTCCACCTTAGCACAGATAGCAGCTAAAAACAGACTTTATTCCGAAGTACCTCCAGGTTTAAGAAGTGCTCCATGTTTGTCCAGTAGATGCAAAACATGTTCCTTTATATCAGAAACTCATTATTTTGTAAGCAACTCTACGAATAAAAGGTACCCGATCCAGGAACATCTAACATGTGAACATTCGAATGTAATATATTTAATTTCATGCAAGAAATGCCCCAAACAATATGTAGGAGAAACTAAGAATAATTTACGAACTCGCTTTAATGCTCATAGGTCAGACATCAAATTAAAGAAAGACAAGCCTGTTTCTAATCATTTCAACCTCGACGACCATTCAATAGACGATCTCACCCTAATCCCAATTGAGCGTATAGAAATTGACTTGCCCGAAGATGAAACTACCAAATTCCGTCAATCTAGGGAGGCCCATTGGATTGAGACATTGAATACAGCAAGACCTATAGGACTAATATTCATCATAATGTAGGCATAGCACCCTTTGTTGTCCCGTTTAATACAACCAGCAATCGAGCAAGCAAGATAGTTCATGTCCACTATAAGAGCCTTCAAGAGAAATTCCCCCATGTCTATAAACAGAAAATGATAGTTGCATATTCAAAAAATAAGAACTTAAATGATAATATTGTTCATAGTAAACTAAAAACAATCAGTACATAACAGATACTATACTTCTGATCAGAAAAGAAGAAAACCCAATATCAAGACCCTTAATCCCAATTTCTAAATAAAGTATCTGTTCCACCCTAGGCCTGTATATTTTGGAGAATCAAACCCTTCCTTCCCCGAAATCCAATTTCGACGATCAGCTGAGAACATTATTCCTGATTAGTTTAGCGTTTATGATTTTTTTGTTATTCACGTCATATTTAATTGTTAATGTGGGATGCTAACAAAGACCTAGGATACTATAATATTAAACTAAAAGTTATTACTGAATGAAAGTGTGTCTAATTGTTGTTTTGTTCACCTTGGTTTGGTCAATTTAAATGCTACATAGTCGCTCTGAAAAACCAGATGATTTAAAAACAATTTTACTTGGTATAAATTCGTTTGGTGCGTCCGTAGCAATAATATATTTCTAGTTTTAGACACATTGTGTAACAATTTGATAAAATATTGATCTTTCGTGATTTCTCCTGTAGGTTATTTCATTTGACACCCAAAATCAGTCGAAATTCTGTTTAATGGTTAGTCGAATAACAACAGCATCCCGGATGTTGTGAAATTCCTATACTAAGCAAGGAATCTCGTAAAAATATTTGACAATGTTGACCAAAAAAAAAAATGGTGATCATTGAAATTCTCGCAGTCAGTAGATTGATTGAATATTATAAAGAGGTAAAACATGATTTGCGCAACAATGTTGAGAGATCAGTGTTGCAAATGATAGTCACTATTGGACAATCAAACAAAATACACCCATTATAATCAGAAGGGATTAGCAATTTTATTTTCTTGTAGGTTCGTAAATTCCGCACTGACATCGGATATTGGCTGCTCTGCTGCATGAAATTCAACTGTAAGCAACACTAAAGTAGTCCTGCTTTAGAACGCTATTTGGAGCCTCTGTCATACCTATCCTTGCCCATGCCAGGCTATATGAATATCCCCTTGAAGGGATTAACAACTTTTGACTTGTGTAAACGTCAATACTTCGCTGGGTTGGAAATCTGTCTTTTTGCGTTAGTGGTATAGCTCTGTTGATTGAGAGTCAGATTGCCGTCAGCTTGGCGATTATGTTCCGTGGGTTCGAATCCTCTACAAGGTAAATAAAAAATTCATGTCTGTGCCTGTGATTCCGAGAGCCGGCATGGTGTCGGCTTTCACCCTCTAATACCCAAACTTCTAGGTTTTGCCCAGAGTAAAATATAAAAGATATATATCATGATAAACATGTTTTAATTAACATACTTTTTCTGCTGCGATACTTTCATCAGTCTTGGACATTTTAATACCAACTGGTATCTGGTCTAGGGTAACGTTAAATAAAAAACAGTAACCAATTTTTTCTTTTTTCGTAAGACCAATGGTTTTACATTCACTCGTCGCGTTGCACCTTTCAAAACAGGCGTCTTCATTTGCATCATACGACACGAAGATAACTGGTGTTTCATAAAGTTGACAGACACCATCACCAGATACGGTAGCACAGGAACATTTGGTATCAATAGCACAATTTGCATCACATTTCGCTTTATCACATAATGTTTCGGTCATATAGGGAATGGGAAACAAATCTGTTTCGTTCGAGTAATTGTACCCACATTCTGAAATATAAATGACACAATTTGAAAAATGAAAAGAATGAGTTTTACGTCCGTCCTACTTTTCTGAAAATTGAAGACGGAAAAAGCCATGAAGGGTGAATTGAGGGAATTTTGATAGGGCAGTGGCGTTACCCTGCTCTTTTTCGATTTCCAACTGTCGAAGAATACTTTTTTGAGTCGCTATTTTTGAGAATTTTCACCCTGACCAAAAAAAACAGATTTGGTGTAACGTTATGTGCCTCTACAAAGCTGAACTATTACTGAGACCATGAAGATATTGCCAGATATTTTACAATGTCCCTGCGTCCCACATTATACCAAAATACAGTCATGGAGTATACTTAAAGGGACAGATGCGGCATTTTAGGGGGTTGATTTTAATCGTAAATATATGTAAATAGTCCTCAGAAGAACTAGAAATTTACAAAAATCGAATAATTCCTTCGAAAATATCTCAAACTAGGAATTATAATTTATATTTCTATATATATGGCAGCGTTTCGCAACTGTCCCTTTAAAACATTTTTTTTTTGTTTGAACAATCACAAATAAATTCACCATTAACCTCCTTCTGCTCCGTACCATTTATACCCTCAACGAGATCTACAATTATACAAACAACAATATTAATTTTCAAGCCTATAATGGTAGTTTAGTGCTCTCCGTTTTCTTTTTCTTTAGTATTCTAAAGATTTCAACTAATAATATCGAGGCATTATAAAGCCAAAGACCAAAACTAGACCCAACTGCTTTATTAACAATTAGTGCTCTCAATTTTTAATAATCCGTTTAAAATCAATTTAGATTTATCATGAAAATACATAGATATAAATAGCATATTTTAAAAGTGTTTTCAGGTATAATTTATGACGTTTACTATAATGAAAACTTTTTACAAAAAGCGGAATATCCCTTTAACTCAGACTTAATTCATTCTACTTACCGTCACAATATTTTCCAGTTGCACCGGGCAAGCAAACACAGTTGGGAACATCAGTGATATTTTCTCCCGGTATACAGGTACTACCATTGGCACAGGGGTTTTCACTTTCAACATCACAAACTCCTAGACCTACATAACGAGAATGTCGGCTTATGCAGTGTGCAATGAAGGAAATTTTACCAGGACAGCGGCATTAACTTATACAGCCTGTAGCACACGGCCCCCCGTTTATTGTCATAAATATCATAAATACTTTTTTTGAAAGTAAGAAAACCAGGCAGGCCCTGCAAAAATGACGAACAGTCGCTTTAAAGGGACAGATTCGCCATTTTTGAGTAATCATACCTTTTTCTCAGATTTGGGAATTTTTGACAATAAAATACGATTGTTTAAAAAATTGGCGCCTCTATCCCTTTAAATGGGTTAGGCTCCTCTCCTGGGAATTTCGTTTTTAATATATATTATCCTTCATCCTGAGATCCTTCTGTAAGTCAATATAACTCCTGTAAGTGGAAGATTTCTTGGGTAGGGCGCCTTTAAGGGTGGGGGTCTATGCACTTGGTTCAACCAGTCCCTGTTAGTTGTACCAGTTTTGTTTGATCAATCATACTTTTTCAGCAACGGAATTTTTTTTAGCTAAGTCAATTCGTAATAATGCTCACAGCTCACCGTCGGAATTTCAGCCTTCAAATAGTCAAATACATGTGTGTCCAGAATAATGCGCGT